CAGCATTAGTATCTCATGGGTGACGTGGAAATCTATTGAATATTTCCACTTAATAATTTAAAATAAAATTTATTTTAATAAATTTAATACATTTTTAAAATTTAATAAATAGGAAAAGAACCCATTCATAATCAGATAGTGTCGCTCCTAACGCTCGGCGGCGCTGGCCCTAGCGGCTGCGGCGCGCGCGGTAAGGAGAGGAAAGGAGGCGTATACCACGGAAATCGGCTGAAATGTTCAGACTAATTCCGAGCACTGTATTAAAGCATTATTACTAAAATGATTGGCGTGTAGTAACCATTATTGTTTTCTTCATTAGCTTGGCATCTTATATTGGATTTCGCGGTACAATTTAATCTGTGTTCTACATCTTGCTTGATTTTCAGCAAGGTGTTTCTAACAAAAGATTTCTTTTCTTATCGACTGCCTTAAATCAATATCTTTTTACACATTTATTTTCGTCTTGCCTATACATATATGGCAAGGAACATAATTATGTCTTTCTGCACTGTAAAACAATTTGGTAAATTTGCACAGCTAAAATGTAAAAATTGCATAATGAATAACGGAAATATGCTAAGTAAATAGTGTAAAACACTGAAAATAGTGTAAAACATGGAATTTATATAAATTTACATTATATATTTAGTAAATTTCTGTTATTTATCATGTAATTTTTACATTTTATTTATATTCATTGATTGTTTTATAGTAAAACATCGTTTTTTTAATAACTTTTTGTGTGTTTTTGTTCTTGCAGTAAAAAAATTATTTTTTAATAAATATAATATTGTAATAAATTAAAATGATATACAGAACAACAGCAAAAAAAAATTTTGATGTTTTAAAGAAACAGCTAAGGTTAATAGCTAAATAATTTGTGCAATTGTCATGCAAATGTCTTATCGAAATCTAACGTGCATAGTAATTCTATATCAAATTAGTATGACAGGTTGAATACACTTGAACCACGTGTACCTACGTCGCGAAGAAACGTCGTGACTGCGCGTTGGACGCCGGCCAGATTTGTATTGACGCAGAGTGCTTCGATAAAATCAGACTTTTCTCTCTTTCGCTCTCTTTCTCTCTCTTTCTCCCTCCCTCTCTCTCTCTCTCTCTCTCTCTCTCGGTTAATTAATTCGATTCACGTGTTGCAATACGATAAGTCATGAATTTAAGTGGAGTTGCATACACAATACTCCAGTAAACTTAAACGTAATTGGACTTGGGAAATCACTTTTTGCCATTCTTCTCTCGAGCTATTTCATTAACGAGCTATCCAATTCTTGCAACAATATGAATTTCTTACGATTGTGTTTCTTTTCTGTTTCAGGTATGTAAGATTGCATTAATTAATGTATAACCACCGCTGGTGCGCAGTGCTTAGGATGCGAACTAAAATTGTAAGTACTTATAATCAATTGCTGTGCATCAAAATTATCTAAAAGTTCAAAATTTGGAACAAAATTTGAAGTTTGGAATGATGCTATACTGTAAAAAGATCAATAAATTCATACAAATAAATTGAATGATGACACAAATAACATAAAATGGCACAAATAGCGATAAAGAAATAAATGACGTGACAAAATGCATGAGTCATCTATATTGCGTGTCTATACATATTCTTTACGTGCGGAATATCTAAGTTATCATCTTATTATTATAGTCCGATCTTATTGCATAATCAATACTTTAATCTTGTTGTATAGCCTGCATTTATGTAAAAGTTCAACAGATGAAAATAACAAACCATTGACATTTTTTGTTGATTATTTGACAATATTACATATTATATTAAGATACAATTTAGATATATATTTTATGTATATACATTATTTGCGTGTGGATCTTTGACTCTAAAATAATTTCTGAAATAGGAACGATCATAAATAGGGTGTATCGCGTAAACATTGCGACATTTAACTGATCAAAGGTCTTGTTTAGATGTTTAACCTTTCTTAATATCGCTCAGATGAATTTTTTATATTTATAAAAATTTCAAGTGACATATAATCGTTTATGTTATAATGCAACTAGGTGTTGTTGTTGACTGTTGTTGTTTTTAATCTTAGCACGAATTTTATTTATTAAAAATTTTTTGTCTTAAACACATTTTCAACATATTTTTCATATAAAGCTTTTGAGTCAGATTTAATACATTAAACTTAAATTAAATTTTTGAAAAAATTTAGTTTAAAAAATTTGCTTATATAAAATTAGCAAGAAGAAACTTGCTTTAAATTGTACAAGGTGAAAAATATATTCTTTTCTTTAAATATATTTTTTAAAAGGTATTCAATAAATGTATTTTTGACTAAATGGAAGCAAAACTTTTGTTATTGGAAACAAAGATGTTTTCTACGCTTTTTTTTAATTTAACGATAATATTTAATTTACTTGAATCTATTTTAGTGTTTGTTATTTTGAACCTCCTTAAAGTTTTCTTAAAGCACAGGATATTGATTTAATATACGGGAATAGTATTCTATTCTTTCTCTTCAGTATGCTTTAGCCATATCGATTTCTTTATTTCAGCAATTTTTTAAGTTAACTTTCTTATTTTCTTTTATTTTGTTATAATTTATGAAAAATAAATAGGCTTATAAAGAGGGATTACATTTATTTTATCATAATCAAACTGTTATTCCATGTTTCTTTTACCTTCTAGATGAATGTCGCCATCTCTCATAAAGATTCAGAGACGTTAGCTAATAATCAATAACACCTCGCACAAATTATCTAATGCGAATCTAGTGCAGAAAATTTGAAATAATATTAAACATTATTATTGCACATTTGAAAATTGAGAAGACAAATTTAAAAATTAAATTTTTTGTAATTTTGCAACAAGAAACATACGACAGATGATTCCTTTGTTACATCAACTGCCGGTAAAGGTTTTCCTGCAATCGATTGCAGCACGAGTAGTACCACCAGTGGATTCTGTCCGTGAAATGTGGCGCCTCTACTTTTCCTCCGATAAATGTTTTGTGTTACCGAATAGTAATAATTTACACATATTTCATGTATTGTTACCTACATATTGATGCAAAATTATGTTCTAGAACTCAATCATAAATCTTTGTTAAGTTAACAGTCTATTTTTACCACTAGTGATTAACGATCGAGCGGGCAAGACAAAAATAAAGGAACTCTGGCAATTTTCTCGAGTGGTAATTTTCTAAATTCTCACAGATTAAAATCTTTTATTGGAAAATTTGAAATTTTTTGAGAATTTTGAATGGCATTTCAAGAATTATATTGCGTACTTTTCTTAATAATTAAGATAGTTAATTAGAAAAGTATTACCAAGTTCATCGCTTACGTCACAGACACAAAAAGCCACAACAGGAGGTAAAATCAAACAATATAATGAACAGAAAGCATTACAAATTTGAAACTGAAATAAAAGAGTTATTTTTATATTGCAAAAGCCGAACTAGAAATTGTGAATTTCTGTATTTTTATTTTTTACGTTTAAATGTCAGAATTATTTTTAAACATATCAAAAGTTTAGATCTGTTGAAAGAAAAGTCAAAACTCTATGAATTGTATCGAAATTCTGAAAATGGAATGTTAACTTTAAGATTAATTACAATGATGAATTATTTAAGGTTTTCCTCAACGTTCCTCCTTCACGTTCATAAAATTAATAATACTTACGATTTTTTAATATTTTACATTCAATCTCTTGGCAACTAAATTTATAATTAAAATTCAGGAAAGAAAAAATCTATTGTACTTAACAGAAGTGAACGAAAAGATTATTATTTATTTGTGCCCCTAAAACTTTAATTGGGTAAAAGTTTTAATTGTTCATTACACTGTTTGATTTTGCTTTCTGTTAGCTTTTTGTGTCTGTGACGTAAGCGATGAACTTGGTAGCACTTCTCTAATTAACTATTTTAATTATTAAGAAAAGTATGTATAATCTTTCCCGCAACAGAATTGACACATCAAATAATTAAAACTTATTAATCCACGTTTTCGTCGAGACAGCATTAATAATGCAAATCTTGTTATGTTGTAAGTGCACGGAACATCTTTCACCCGGAAAAAAAAAAGATTCGTTGATCCTCTATTAATAAATTATTTCTCGTTGACTTTAATCGCTTCTCACGGCGATCGATTCTACCAACGCGGTAAAATTTTCAACCGGAATCCGGTTACCAGCGATAGCGGTTTCATAATCCTTTTTTTTTCGTCCGATGCACCAGGACATCGGCTGTGCTCTCGTAACGCCGGTCCATTATTCTTCTTTTATTATCGTGTCACTTAATGGCACCGCAGTACCAAAAAGAAGTGGCGGCAGCGACTCGCGTTTTCGCAGGTAGATCGATCGTCGCGCATAATCGTCGTCATCCGGAAAATCCGGGGCGAAGGAAAGGGCGAAGGACGAAGGAAAGAGCATGCCAGTTCTCTCTTCCCCGACTGACGCCGCGACTTGTGATCGCTCGTACAGCGCAATTAAAACGGCTAGAAATTCTTTCGCAAGGAAGCTACGAGGATTCGATAGTTCAAATACTTCAATTCCAGGATCTTTTTCGCTCTCGTTGAACCTGACGTTTAATTAAATCTTGCGCGCGTGAGTAACGCGGCGACTCGCATGGGAGAAATCCTGGCGCGATGCGGCTTTGAGCGATGAGATCTTAGAAATAACTTTTTGAACATTCGTTATTATTTCGAGTAATAATCAACGTGCGATGTAGAACGATACTTCAACCGATCTTCAGCGTGATATTGATATCGCTGTTGATTAAACGGCGAGCCTTGAAATTTACTTTAGGTTTCTCGGAGAACCGTATTTTCCGGCATGAATTAATCCTCGGGGAATGATGTGAGGAATAATTAATTTTTAATCCCCCGAAGCTACAGAGTTATGTAAACATTTCTAAACTCTTTATCTAAGATAAATGAACGTTTCATCTATCTGACATAATATTAATGAAAGTTATATCAAATTTTCATACATAGTCGTAACAATAAATTTAAATAACTCGCCATTTTTTAAATTTTTTAATGTTTATTACACTACGTGAATTATATTACGCACGTTCAATGCAGATAATATATAACACACTTCAATTTTATATAATTTTTTATCGATATATTTATATTTTTCTTTGTTGAAAGCACAACCAGACTAAAAATGTATCAAAATCTTTTTTTGCAAATTGCTGTATATATTTTTTCTGTTCTATATAGATTCGTTCGCGTATTGCCTCGGCAATATTCAGTGAAACTTTCAATCCCTCCGCGATAAATAACATTGTCAAGTGTAATATTAATGCGCGAAGGATACGGCGCGGAATGAAGCTTTCGCAGTTTCATTGGGTAGCTTTCGAACAACTGACTTCCATTACTTCTCACTCGCTGACCTAATTTGCCGCCGTGGTTCTCAGCACGTCCACGGATCGAATTATTTATCAGCACGCTCGGTACAATCGGTTTAGTATATCGGCTTTCTCTAACATTCTCCAGTCGGCTCTTAGATCCGGCCACATTGGGAATGAATTATTTCCTCGGGAATTACGCCGAACGATTGACCGGGCACCGGTGAACACTCAGCTGCTATCACCAGCACGGCTATTCAATTCATCATCCTATCACATATATGTGTTCCAAGATATTTTGTCCACCATTCTTCTTCATCCCTTTCTCTATTTTTGACGTCTCTCTTTTTCTTCCTCTCCCTCTCTCTTTTTCTCTTATTTGTCCGGCAGCGATCGCGTCACGATCAAGATAAAGTCATCTTTATTTCACCCGTGAAGTTTTGAGATCATGTCACCATGTTTTAAAATACCCTGAGGCTGCGGAGGAGGTTCGTATGCACTTGCCGTCCTTAACCCACATCATGTGACGCGCTTAGCCTGCACGTGGCGCCCTTCAAGCATCACGTTTCCCTCGCAATCGATGACTACATCCTCGCCCTTTTATAACTTGAGCTCGTATTTCGAAAATCCGATTTTCCATTTTTGTTTGATTTTGCATTGCAATTAACGATCGGGTTGCACGGGATTTTTGGGTTGTTATTTTTAACGTTTCTTTCCGTAACGAAGAACAAACTGTAACAGCATAATCCTCCCGCTTGCATAGCTATTTTTAGGATCGCTATGCGCACAGTGTACAGAATTTACATTTAAAATGGTGGTCGAATCAAATTTACGCACGTTGTGCATTCTAATCGCTTCCGTGCCTACTCCCGTTACAGTTTGCAAACAATGGCCGACGGCGCGAAACGAAAGCGGTAGCTTTTTCCAAACCTCACCGCAAATCTGTGTCACAGAGATGGCGAATGGCAAAGGTGACCGCGACGGCGAATCGCGGATCGGTTTTCCGAGCTATTGTTTTCCGACGAGTGCCCGTTCATTACCGGTCAAAGCCGGCTATCGATGTGCCGGCAAACTCCGCCTGTCAGGCCAAAAAAGCCGCAGCGCCGGCCGAGACGAGATCGAACCACCAATCTCCCTCGTCACGGTCCAAAGCTTTTGCGGCCAAAAAAACATCCTTTTGTCGCAGACTGTTCTTCAGCGGTTTTTATCGAGCTTTACCCGACATTCCCCTGGCCAGAGGCGAATTCACGGCCCAAATGAGGGCTTGGCCTGTGTACATCGTGCGGAGAACGAACGGGGGGATGGATCATGCGACAAACCGCGGGCATCCGTGACCTCAATGCATTCATTTTTCTTGATCTCATTCGAGACTGCGCTTAGCGCTGCGCCCGTGGCCCAGCGATTTTCAGGAGCGCTTTAAAGCGCGCCGAACGCGTCGCCCATTACCCGATCAAAAGTTTCGTCGGTGCTTCTTTCGTGACCGTGATTGCCCGCAGGCTTGTTTGCCTTTTTCCCATTTTTTTTTTTAAGCGTTGAATCTGCGAAGAATTCGAGAAGTTTTAAAAAATATTCACTCTCACGTCCGATAAGCATTTCTGTTTCCGTCCGTGATTTTTTGTCGCAAAATCTAATAATATGAAATACAAAAGCTGGCAATTTTTATATTTATTGCACGCCTCATCCAGTTAATTATATTATTTTGACATGAAGGGATGCAATGAGAGAAAAGATTGCGCAGCCGAAACCAATTTTACAATATCTTAATAACGAATCAGTGATAAACATTGATTACTACGAAAACTTCTTTATCTTTCATCACTTCTGCTAAACACAGAAATGTATTGCAAAGGTGCGCTACTCCCTCGCGAATGCTCCGAGATTCATTTGCTTTTTCCGCCTTTACTTACTCGGTCTAAAGTAGACGACAGAAAAAAAAAGGAAAGCGGCACGGTGCGCGTACAATGGCATTCGGAATCCTCGAAGGAGGACCGCCAGCTGATCGAAAACCACTTCACGAAGCGCTCTCTCGGAAAAGTAAATGAGAGAATCGCGTCGTAACGACGTGGAGAGAATCTCGTGGCTTCTCGTTATACGAACGTGTAATTGATGCCACACGATCGATAGGAATGCTTGGCCATTATGCGATGGTAGATCCGAGCGAGCGTTTCAAATCCGAACCGCCGCCGTCGATTTCGAGAATGTCTCACGTGATTGATACCGTTTTCCCGCAGCTCTTTACATGGAAAACAAGAGGAGCGATTTATCGTAGTAATTTCGCCGGTTGGTGTCTTATAAAGTATTATTCCGCTTTTTCCCCCTAAGAACATATGTTATGTCGGTTAAATCCATTTGCAGTAATGACAAATGTTTGGTATACTACTGTATTTTGGTGCGCTAATTATGAATATGATAATGAAAATTACCGACAAGGTCATTTTCTTGATCAAAACTAAAAAAAACTCAAAAATCATCATTTTTTAAACATTATTTTGATAAATATTGATGTAACAAAGAAATGTTTCAAATAAAAATTGTAGTTCTTGAAAAAATACATCATTTATAATTTATGCATTTTTTGCATAGAACCAATATTTTTTGAAAAAATGAGATAATAGGACAGACACTCCCCCGCACTATGCAGTTTGTTCCGCCCCCCTGCGGGAGGCTCCGCCATCAAAAAACTATACACATAGGTTTGAGTTAAAACCTCGCTTTGTGTGGAAAGTTGCAAACCCATGTAGAACCTTGCTTTGCGTTGTAAAGTGTATGCCTGGATGCAGTGAGAGTGTCTTTCCTATTATCTCATTTTTTTTCAAAAAATATTGCTTCTATGCAAAAAATGCATGTATTTTTTTGAGAGCTACAACTTTTATTTGAAACATTTCTTTGTTACATCAATATTTATCAAAATAATGTTTAAAAAATGATGATTTTTGAGTTTTTTTTAGTTTTGATCAAGAAAATGACCTTGTCGGTAATTTTCATTATCATATTCATAATTAGCGCACCAAAATACAGTAGTATACCAAACAAAGCAAAATCGGAGGGTTGACTCTTTTGGAACTCTACCCAAAAATACAAAAGAAACATATATGACTTTTTCTTGTATTTTTTTCCCGTAGAATCAATTGGCGTAATCAGTTTCTCTCTACAGTTAATTTTTATTAATTTGTTTATAA